AAATTTTTCCTGCAACTGTTAAGTCCATTTCGTCTTGCATACAGTGTTCTTCGGTCACACTCTCCCCCCTTTCCCTGCCCCCTCCTACCTGGCCACGGGGGTAAGCCGGTTTTCTTAGGCGCTGGCTTCTGCGTGTGAGAGAGCATGCTGAGCTCGCTTGCTTCCGCTGAGCTTACCTCTCTCACCGTGATGGCCTCCAGCCCAAGCCGTTTTCCTATAGTATGGTGCGTGTATGCTGTATTTTCTTCATCCATTCATTGGAGGACGGGCAGCCATGGCTTGGCTGTCATTAACACTGCTGCAATAAATGTGCTGTGCAGGTTCTACTGTGTGCTGACTTGCTCATTGCTGTTTCTGGTGAGTGGGGGTGGGTGGTCTGGAAGGTGAACAACGATCCCAGAGCTTTGGCATCTCCAATGAAGAAATAAATGGACACACACACACAAACACACACACATGCAAATGTGAAGTGGTAAAGCAAGGGAAGGAGGGGGCGAGCGAGTGAGCAGGTGGTGAAGGAAATGTGGGCTGGAGTGTGGTTAAGGGGAGTTTGGCTTTCCTTCCCTATGGCTAACCTGCCTCAGGTTCCTTGGATGAGCAGCTACTGAGCCCATTCTTTAAACACAAGTGATTGTAACACACACTTGGTTTTTGCTTAGCTCCAGTCCCCATCCTCATCCCAGGGGACTGGTGTGGGTACCAGGCCCTGCCCTGCCCTCTCCGCCCTGCTCACCTTGCTGGCTCCTCCGGCAGCCACTACTCTGCCCCTCCAGCACCCTGGTGAGGTGCCTTACTCCCTGGTGCCAAGGGGAGCAAGAGCAGGGCAAGACAAGACAGGGGCAGGGTGATGAGTCCTGATCCCACGGCGTACCTGCAGCCCGGTGCCAGCTCCTGCTGCTCCCGCAGTGCTGGGAATCACGGGTCCCTGTGCAGAGGACCCCAACGCCACGGTCTTCCCGCTGGTCTCCTCTCACCCCTCTCCTTCCTCAAGGCCAGGGCCTCTGCAGCCGCCTGGCTGGGGCCTTCGTCGGGCCAGGCCTGGCTGGGCCTTGCTTCCGCGCCTCCGGACACGCACTGCAGCAGCACCCGGCTCGCACGCAGCGCTGGGCACTTGGCCACTGCCGGAGAGGCCAGAGCCTCTGGGGCCTTGAAAAGCCGCAGCTCAGAAGTCAGATGAGATCTGCAGCTTCCGGGCTGGCGGGCGGGGGTCTGCGGGCCCCGGGCTAGTGGGAGGGGGTGTGCGGGCTCCGGGTGGGGGTCTGCGGGCCCCGGGCTAGTGGGAGGGGGTGTGCGGGCTCCGGATTCCCGGCGGGGGGTCTGCGGGCCCCAGGCCGGGGTGTGCGGGCTCCAGCCGGCAGGGCGGGTCTGCAGTGCAGGTCTCCTCGTTCCACGGGCCACGCCTGGAGTGTGGCCCGCTTCAGGTCCCGGCCCGGGACGCTCGGCCCGCGTGACGCCGGCCGC